CCCCCAACCCCCCGCCGGGCTCCTGGGGCTGTGGCCGAAAGGTTTTTAATCTCCGTGTGTGCATGTGACTGTGCTGGGTTGGAATGTGAACAATAAAGAGGAATGTCCAAGTGTTCAGAGGGTGCCGGGGGAGGGAGTTTGGGTGCACAAGGCCCCCGCTTGGAACTTGAACAAGTCTCCTTGGGCCAAACCAAAAATCGGGAGCTGGTGGGTTGAAGTGGAGAGGCACCTAGGTTGAAACCTACCCCTTTGACCCAACCAAACTTCCTGCCTACCTTTTCTCGGACTTCAAGCCCATTCCTTCTCTTACTGTTAATACTCTTGCCGCCTGGAGGAATTCGCCATACCAGCAGAAAGAAGGAGACAGTATGGTACCCATAGACTTTAATTATTGATATTCCCCCTCACCGCCCTCCCAGGGATTGGGAGAAGTCACACAATCATAGGGAGCTTGGACTTGGTGGTTGTCACGGTGCTGGCAGACGAGGGTCTTTCCAGGAACCCCTTGCTAGAATCAGCCCTCATAGAAGTGTGCTCAGAGATCCCAGGAGCCATGGCATCCTCCCTGATGGGTATAGGCAAGTTCTTAGTGAACAGTAGAAGCCTCCTGCAGAGGAGGGCCATCCTCTAACCTGGGGACTTTTAAATTTCACTGTGCTTGAGAATAATCTGCGGAACTTTGGTCAAAATGAAGTTTCTGGGCCTCATCACTCCCTGACACACAACTCTAGGAAGGCTAGGAGTGGCCTGAATCTGAATGTATAACTAGTTCCCGGTGATTTCTGTCCGGGTAATCTGAGGACTCCACCTGGAGAAATATTGCTCTGATCTCTATCCTAGACCCTGACTGGCAACTAAAGTGGATGACAGAGGCAGCTTCTCCTCCCCTTTCCTGATTTCCTCCACAGAAGAACTGAACTCAGCTGACTGCTCAGGACAAATCCAGCTCCCAGCATCTACAAGCCACTACTACTCCCAGGTGGTTCAGAACAGAAAAGTAAACTTTGTTAAATATGAGGAGGGGCAGGGCAGTCCTGCAAACTGAGCTTCCCTGCCACAGCTTTTACCAGCCACTCCACCCTGTACTGCTTGCCTGCACCCTCAAATACACAGGTTATACTGCTGCCACCAGCAAATCCCAGGGCTGAACAATACCTCCTACCCCTAAACACACTGAATGATGTTGGAGTTTGAGGACTGCAGGCACCTGCTTTTAACCCAAGCCTCTTCCTCCCTCCTTGCACCATCCCCCAGCCCTCCTGCTCACCGAAGGTCACTACCCCCATATGTCTCCTTGGGCTTCTTCCCCCTCTCTTTGTGGAACCTGATCAGACAGAACGCAGCAACTGACAGCAACAGCACGACCAGGAGCACCCCAATCAGAGCTCCGGCCACTCGGCCTTCGGAGGGTTCTAAGGAGATACAGGACCTTCAGAGTTGCAGGCTTTCCTCGGCCCACCAGCCGACAGCTTCCCCAACACAAGGCTGCTGGCCTGGCCTCCACCCAGCATCCCTACCGGTCACAGAGAGGGTCAGCTCACAGGATGCACTGCCCATCTGGTTGGTGGCCACACAGCGGTAGGTGCCCGAGGAGGTCAGGGAGAGGTTGGTGAGAATGAGCTGGCCAGACACCTCATCTAGAGGATGAAGAGGAAGTGTTCTGCCGCCCATTCAACTCAGTGAGCACCTCTATGAGGACAGCACATTTCATGTCATCCTTACAACAATCCTGTCAGGGAGGAACTAATTTTTTTTTTATTGGTGGGGAAACCAGTTCAGAAAAAGGAAGTAGTGTATCTGAGGAGACCCAGAGAGGAATTCCAAAGCTGCTACAACTTACCTGTTCTTTCCACCCTACATAGCTGCCTTTTTGGGAGGAGGAGGACTGTACACTCATGAAGGATTCAGAAACTGGCCATGGAGTCAGGGTGGGGTGCTTCCTAGCTGATGTCAGGTTCCTGGTTTGGGGTAAAAGGCTTGATTGCTAGAAACTGCATCCTGTAGGGTGGCTCTAAGTGGACACAAATGCTTTTCTAAACTGTTTACCTTTGCCTGAGAAGGCAAAGCACATACCAGGAGGTGATCTGGGGGTGGCTCATTCATTTCTGGATTGATAAAGGAGTTTGCTGGGGCTGGAGAGAACAACTGAATCCAGGAAGAGGAAGCTGAGAAACTAAGGCTCCTCCAAAGATACTGGTTAAAAGATTCAAGACAGTCTGTGCTACTCTGCCTCAGTTTCCTCTCTAGGAAGTTTGGAAGTGATCCATGACCCTTAGGAAACCTGAAAGAAATCTCCCCAAGGCAGATGGGTGGGCATCAAGAGAATGCTCCCTGCCCTCTACTTTCTTCCAGGATATCAGTAACATATTCAGCCTGAGAAATACTCCCAGGATCACCCAGCCACACACTGTGCAGGAAGACAGGCAGGAGGGGATAATACAGGAAGCCAAGGAAGAGGCAGATTTGCCCAGGTCTCCAGTCCCCTCTTCCTGATGCCCTGGGCCCTTACCTTGAACCATGCTGCCAGGAGAAGGTGTAGGAAAAGATCCAAGACGCACCCAGTTGTACACTGGCTTAGGAGCCCCCTCGGAAGAGCTGCATCTCAGTGCAGTAGAGCCTCCCACAGAGGTTTGTCCACTCTGACTGCATAAGGGATTACTGGGGGGAACTGCAAAAAACAGAAAGTTCCTCAGCAATCCTCCAACCCCACTCCCAACTTCATTAGGTGCTACATTCTCTACTTCAATACCCCTATCAAACAGTGGTCCTCTTGTGTCCACACACCACTGCATCCCCAGGAACTGAGAGATTTCCACTATTGGAAATTCTGATTGTTAGAGAAAACTCTTCCTCATGTTGAGCCAAAATGTGTGTTAACATAATATCCACCCATTGGTTTCAGTTCCTGCCCTTTGGGCCCACAAAGAGAAATTAAAATCTCTCCTCCACATGACAGCCCTTCAGATAGTTGAATCCAGCAGTCATACACCCATCCTAGGCCTTCTCTTTTCCATCTAAACACTGCCAGCCTCTTTGATAGTTTTTGTGGTTGCTCATCTCTGAACAGGCTCTAGTTTGGGTTGAGACAGAAGCTCTGAGCACAAAGTTGCTGCTCAGTAATATCGGCCCTTGTTCCTTTGATGGCCACGCCCCTTCTCTGCCACTGACCTTGGGAGGGACAGAATCCAACTCCCAATGAGAGGCTCCCCCATGATGGAGCTTCTGGGAGCAGACTCAGATCCCCACGTATGGGAAGGGCTTTCTCTCCCACCCTCTGTTATTAGGCTCTGATGGAGGAGATGCTCTCAGTGGAGGGTGGAGTTGGAGTATGACCATCTGGATTAGAAGACTTGAAGAGAGAGTATTTTCGCTTGGGGCCCCCAGTGCAGTTGTGTGCTGGGGTCAAAAGTCAGAAACTGGAGATTTAGCAGGACCAGTGCAAACCCCCCCAAGTATGTGAAAGAGTATGTGGCTCATGGCTCCCCAGCCTGCCTTACCCAGCACAGTAAGGTTGATTAGCCCCAACCCATTGGTGTAGAAATCTGGTGGGTTGTTGACTTGGCAGAGGTAGGTTCCTGTATCTGATGGGTGGACGTCAGTCAGTTTCAGTGTGGCCACCCCCACTGTGGGGGGGTTCTGAAGCAGGCTGACCCGCTTTGACTTAGAACCAGTTGGATATAGTTGGCCATTGGTGAAGTACAGGATCTGGGGAGAGGCAGAAGACACACATATGTGCCTAGCATCAACTCTACAGTCCTTCCTCACCAAAGTGGGTATAAGAGGCCCCTGACTTACATCAGCCAGGGAGCTGACACCCTGTAGCTGGAACCTCAAAGGTCTCTCTGTTCCCAAACACCACCCCCTTTTAGGTGCTAAATGAACCTGATCCATTGGTCTCTCTCTTTCTCTATCTCTCTCTCCCCCCCATCTCTCTAAGAGAGAGACAGAAGAGGCAGCATATTATCTTGGTATCAGTCACAACACCTTAGTGTCAATGGATACACTAAGGCAGGGGAGTTGGAAAAAGGATCTATGGGAGACGAAAGGAAGATATAGGGTCAGGCAGACTGCAGCTCTGAAAAGATCTTGGGAGAGCTCACTTACCTTTTCATCGAAGCATACTGATCCCCAAACGCCCGCTCCCTACCCCATGCCCTCTTCCTGGGCTCCTGTCCCTCCAGGCCAACCCAGCTTCATGCAGTTGCTCATAGCTCACTGGATGGGACTCAGAGATGGGCTTCCCAGGCTGCACAAAGCTCCACTCCAGGGCGAAGCTGTCTCCCACCGACGTGCTGTAGGTGCAAGTCAGCTCGGCTGTCTTCCCCAGGGGCGTGCTCAGCGGCTCCGTTGGTACCTTCACCTCCACGGCCAGCCCTGGGGCCGGGGACCAGAGGGAGGTAGGAACCCAAATTCCAGTGATCTGGAGGGTCGGGCCCACCCCCGGGCATCTACATTGGAAGCTGGGGGCTCCCTCCCCAGAGCACAACGCTCTCCCCTCAATCCAACCCCTCCCTTCCCAAAACCTGAGGTTTCCGGGAGGGGCCGGGTCTTTGTGGGTAAAAGAGCCGGAACCGGGCCCGGTAAGACGGTGTGTGTGTTTAGCAGAGAAAGGAAAACAGTAACCCTGCGGTGGGGTGGTTCAGGCCTGTGCGGGCGGAGAGGCCGAACTCGCCCGCCGGCCTGGGGGCCTCTCTCCTCCCCACTCCGGGCCTTCGACACCCCCTCCCCGGCCTCACCCCAGGCGCCTTAGGGCCCCTGAGGCCCACGGCAGCCTCATCTGGCCTGGCGGGGACAGAGTGGGTCCCAAGGAGCCCGGGAAGCCAGGCCTATGCCCCCCAGTTCTCGCCGTGGTCCTGCCTGGCGCCTCCTCACCACTCAGGCACAGCAAGCCTAGCAGGGCCCCGCAGAGAAAGGGCCCCGGGAGCTCGGCCATGGCCGCGTCCATCCGTCCTGTCCTGCTCCTGCCAGGTGGGCGATCAAGGTCGGTCTGGGTGTCGGGGAGGGAAGGGAGCACCCAAGGGTAGCCGCCCGGGCTGGGCAGGAGCGAGACTGGTATCTCAGAGCAAACAGGGGAGAGGCCGGCACCGCAGGTTAAAAAAAAAAAAAAAAAAGTGGGCCTCCCTCCTCTCCTCCAGCCCCAATTCTCCAATCTCTCTATTCCTGCTCCCTCCTTCCTTCCCCTTCTCCCCAAAGTCTGAAGCTATCAGGCCTTGGGAAAAGGGCTGGGCTTGGTGTGGGCCTTCTGCAGAGAGGGGCTCAGCACTGGAGCTCCGGGAGGAAAGCTGACTTTGGAAGGTGTCCTGCTACCCCAGAGCTGGCAAGTGGGGTCCCCACCTCGGAGCCTCACTATCAGTGTGAGCCCCAGGCCGCAGACCCTTTCTGTCCACAGCGCTTTTCATTTCACCACTTACTGAGGTAGGAGTCTGGGTGGAAATGAGCACCTCTCCGTTTCCACAGCCACTCCATTTTAGGGGCAGAGAAACTGTGACCTAAAAGAGACCCCACCCTTGGCAGGAAAAAACATGGCAGAATTTGGGCACAGACCTGCACCCCATACTATGCCCAGCTCTCCCTCAGTAACAACAGAGATCTCTTCCAGATGGACAAGAAGTGTTTTTGTTAAGAATTCCGTGGTGTGGGAGAGGAGCCCTCCTGAGCTTCCTCTCCCCTGTCCCTGAAGAGGATGCAGATGAGGTACAGGAACCCCGTAGCTGGGAGCACTCAAGCTCCAGCAGAAAGCTACCAGCTTCATCCCTCTGCTGTTCAGAGTAGCTCAGAGTCTCCTCTTCTCCACGTGACAAACAAGGACCCTTCTAAACACTAGAAGAGCTGCTCTGAGCCTGTGGGGAGAAGCCCTCCTGGGTACACAGCTTGGGAAGGGGTCCACTTTGCGTGCTCCTGAAGCTTAATTTCTAGAATTCTTAGTTTGAAAAGGCAACTTGTTTCTTATCCCATACATACATTATGTGTCTTTATTGAAATTTGCAAATGAAAACAACACATATTTCATGTTAGTTTTAAAAATACATTCCCTATCCTCTGCCCCAGTAAAACCTAACCAAGCCAGCCTGACAGGTTATATCAATACAGGGAGCTGGAGTGGGAGCAAAGGGTGGTGTTAGATAGGGGTGGGGTACAGATCAAGGGGGCCTGGGAGACTCAGTAACTGGAAGTCTCTGCCACTCACTCTTGGTGAGTAGTTAATTTCAGCAGCTGGCTTCACAGGGAGGAGTCAGGGGTGGGTGGAGGCTCCTCCCAATTCCAGATCCACTTCCTCTTCTTCTGTCTCCTGGACACTTAGGTCTTACTGAGACAGTTTTCCCACAGTAAAGAGAGGTGGGGGCAGAGTACTAAGGGTCTGGAGTGTGATTACTCTCCCATGACTCAGGCCTCTGTGCTAGAGGTGACCCCTATAGGAAAGAGAGACCCCAAATCCTTTAGCCAATGAGTGGCGGGGTCATCACACCAGAGAGCCAGCTTGACTCTGGGCAGGCACCATCACAGGCACAGCACCCATGCGGCTCAAGCCAGAGGAAGAAACTCCACCAGGGATGGGAGATATTGGTTGAGGGTTGGCACCGTCTGTTGTGGGCAGTCTTGGTGAGGGCAGGGCCTGGCTGGAGAGACTGGGCGTGGGGGTCAATGCACCAGGTCTGGGAGGGCCGTGGGGTGGCCGGAGGGCTCGTGCGGAGGTGACAGAGGAAAGGGTCCCATTCTTGGAGATTGTGTCTGAGCTCTTGGGCCAGGGCAGGGTCCGGGGAGCAATGGCATCCTCCCTAGTCATCAAAGAAATAACAAGAGGTCAGAAGTGGGAGGGGGAAGGAGGAGAGCGTTTCTACATGCTTGGTCTTATATGCCACCTCTCCCTGCACACTTCAATACTCCTTTCCCTCTCCCTTAAAATCTGCCCATAGGAATGATGTTTCAGCCACTGACCCCATTCCAATAGATGAGAGGGGCCTGAATTCCCAGACTCTGTGAGGAGAGCAGGGAGAGCCCCCACTGCAGCAGAGACCAGGGACACTTACTTGATATCATTGGCTGGCTCCTCCAGGGCCTTGCCCCGGCGGTGGCACAAAAGGACCAGCCCAGCCAGCAACCCCAGTCCAACCAGGGTACCCACAACAGCTCCAGCAACCACCGCAGCTCCAGGCCCTGGAAAAGGCATCGTGTTAGAGGGGGACACCCAGCTGAGGGGTTCCCACCCCCTCCAATCCCACTCCCCCTACCCCTTCTGCCACCATACACATTCCCTCTTTTTCCCTGTCAAGGAGAGGGGTGGCTGTTGAGCAGGAAATGACTGGTCACTGACCAACCATTTGTACAAACATTTGATCAGGGCAAGCTCCATGCCCTGTTACAATGAGAGGCCTCAGGAGACAGGCCTCCTCCCCACTTGCAACCCCTCCCCCACCACTGACCACTCTTCTTAACCACACTTACCCCTCACTGACCTGTGCTCACTTCCAGGGTCACATTACACTGGGCAGTGCCCACCTCATTGTGGGCCTTGCAGACATAGACTCCAGCCATGGAAGAGGAAAGGTTCGTGAGACTTAAAGACCCACGGATGACATCTGTGGACACAATTTAGCCATCAGTCCAGGGACCCTCTTTCTCATTAAAAAAAAAAAAAATATATATATATATATATATATATTTTCCCTCCTCTGGAATGTCCCCTTTGACCCTCTGGGAGTCATGGCTTGTCTATTCCCTGACTGGGGGAGAGGTGTGACAGCTGGGCTCGGCTCCTAGCTGCAGACTGGCTAGCGCAATAACCTCCATTCCCACTCCTCAGTCAGAGCCCCCAGTGGATATCCGACAGGAGGCCGCAGAGAAAGTGATGCAAAGAGCAACCAAAACACGATTTTACTTTTATTTCGGCAAGACAGCGTGATGAGAGAGAGAGAACACTGGGGTAGGAACTGGTAAACATGGGTTCCAGAACAGGCCGTGTGACTGACTTTAAGCAAGGTAGTTGATATCTGAGGGTCTCCATCTCTTCATCTGTAAAATGGGGACAATATGACCTACCTAATGGTGTTGAAAGGACAATATGAACTAATCATTATAACAGTGAATGTTTATTGGCTGCTTACCCTGTGCCAAAGACTACTCTAGATTCTTTATGTGTATGCACTTACCACAATTTCCCAACAAACTTGTGAGGTAATAAAGATTATTTTTAAAAAAGAAAAAGCTACTGTTATAAAAATGGTCACGTGAAAAGTAGAAACAGAGGCAAAATGAAAATCCATATTTCCACAACCTAGATCCAACAGTTGCTAACTTTTTGCCATATTTATTTGATTTCTTTCTTTTACTTAGACATTTTAAAGTAAACACTTCAGCATAAATCTCCAAAAAAGAAGTACGCTGTCCCATAGAACCACAATAGCATTGCCATGCCTAGGAAATTAATAAAATAACTATCTAAAATCATCGAATACTTCATATTAAAAATCTTTCAGTTATCCCTAAAATACTTTTTTATAACTGGTGAGTTATATGAGTTCAAGCTGATGCGTGTAAAATCCGCATTTTACAAATTTGGGAATGAAGGCACTGAGTCACACTGCTAGTCACTAGAAGAGCTGGAATTTGAACACAGAGACTCCAGCTATAGAGCCCCTTTCTTGACAGTATACACAGTGAACGCACCTAACACAATACCTGCCCTGGCAGGCAGGGCACCTTTCTCTGCCCCCATCCTCCCCACACCCTCCTCCTCCTCCCCGGTGCTTGTCAGCATTGGCTCCCCTTTTCACCCCAGTCCCTGTGGGACCTCCCATCTTTCCCCTTCCCCAGCCACAGTCTCGGCTGTTTCCAGAAGTGTCCTCACCTAACACTGGTGCAAAGAAAGTCTGGAAGGATGGGAGCTGCCGATCCCACTGGTATTGGACAGCGGGCTTACTCCTTGGAGACTGGCAACTCAGGGTCACGTTGGCCCCCACACGGGGCACACCCTGGAGACGGCAGGATGGAGGAGCTGGAGGGACTGGGCAGGGGGAGACAGATTAAAACCACAACCAGGAGACCCACAGATCCTCTCCCTCTGCCCTGCACCCTTCTGTCACTTCATTTGTCCCTCCTCCAACTCTCGCCCTTTAGGAGAGAGACTCATCAGGCCTCCCAGTGTGGGTGGGGAGGGGTCCGGAAGTCTGTGCTTCTCACTCACCCAGCACATTGAGTTCTAAGGTTTTGATGCTATGGCCGCTAGCTTGGCCGTTTTTGTCTTGCACATTCACGGAACAGCTGTAGGGGCCAGAGTCTTTCTCCTGGAGACCCTCCAGTCGCAGGGACAGGTTCCGGGAGGGCATGGAGTAGACCAAGGATACTCCAGGTTTGCTTGTTGTGACCCCATTGATGTAGGACAACACCTGGTGTGGGGCATAATACATCCCTACCATTACTACATGTGTATACTGTGCCTACAGGCTCAGCCAATCTCCCTCCCCCAACTGGCATTCTCCACATGCCCCTCACATGCACCCATTCTTCTAACCTGAACCAGCTCCCCATTCACCTTTTGTCCCTAGCCCCTCTCACTGCCCCGGGTCCTCTTCACCAGAACAGTTCTTGGTTCCCGTACATTGTCTCATCTCCCAATTGCGGTGTTTAGAAAGGTGACATAATAGTGGAAGGAGGGACAATGTAAATAGGAGGTATGTATGCATGCAACTCAGACTGCTGGGGTGGATCCAGGTTTGTAAGACCTGAAACTTACACAATGAGGGGAGACCTCTTCGAGAAAAAAAATATGAAAAATATATTTTAAAAGTATCAAATGAGGCTGGGCACATTGGCTCATGCCTGTGA